GATGCTCATTTAAAAACGGAGCTCCCTCTGCAGCGCGGCTGATTTATTTAAGAACCTGAGGTCCTCTGAAGTGACGTCTCCAAAAAGTAGCAGCTGGCTGGATAATTATCGTTGGATACGATCGTTTTGAGGGGAAAAAATCCTCCAACGTCACTGCTAACGACCGTGAGCTGCAGGCTGTCGGTCCTACCGAGTTTCGAAATAAATCTGGTAGGAGTGGTCTGTTTGTTGGGCGTCGTGGTTAAGAGGGGAGCGCAGGATTTTCTATACAGAATTCGTTTGTGGTTCCTGGAAATTTATAATGTTTTGAACATCAGACTTTCGGGTTATGTCTTCAAAATCAAGTTCATCCAAAGTCTGTCCATTCAGAAATGTCCAGTATAAATGCCTAACTATATCAAAAGCCACATTTCTCTCGAATGATATAAAATTCTCTTCAATCGTGACGTCAACTGAAGAATTTGTGTTCTTGAAAGCACATCCTTAACACATCAACCAAAATCAGAAGATGCTATTCTAAATACAAAGTTATGATCCTCTCTTCGTGTCCAGCCAGTCTCCGGCCAGTCTCTGGCCGGTCTCTGGCCGGTCTCTTGCCGGTCTCCGGCCAGTCTCTGACTCTCTGGACAGTCTCTGGCCAGTATCCGACATAAACGCGATCCAGAAAACCTCAGAGATCCAACCCCTTGAAGTACGACCTCCCATGCCCAATCAACTGTGGGGCCTCGATATCGTGCTTGTCGCGGTCCAATCAATGGTAGTATTGCGATATCGTGCTCGTGACAAGCAACAGTAGTACTAGAATAACTTCCATGTTATGGGACCATTAATGAAGTGCAGTACCGAATTTTCAGACAGCCGAAGTGTGATCAAGCTAGAGTGACATCTAACCTGACTCGCCACAATGCTAACATGCTGACCAGTGACCATACAACATAACACGCTACATAAGTAAAATGTTACTGTACCATAATACTAGTTTGTAACCTGTTTCAATGCTCCCATTTAAGCTATCTTGTTTATAAACAATGTCATTTTACAGACCACGAATCTAGCAATCGATAGCTGCATGTGATCGTACCCGTTCATTAGCAAGCATATTTTAATACCATGATGTGCATGATGTGAAGCCATCATGTTTCTGTACATGTTGCCATACACTGTTGGGGAGTATTCTATAAATAAGCAAACAAACTCTCGGTTTCCCCAAACTTTTAATAAATAACTGTAATGATAAACAAATGTTGGTACGATAATACAGATAAATAAACCGTGTATTTCCTTAGCTATTTTACATGTTTATCACGTGAATAACTAGACATGATACCTACACGCATCTCTGTGGTGGGATTGCGATAAAATGAAGAAATACGAAGCGCATCTAAACGAGGTCGCATCAAAGGTGAATCAAAACGCTAAACGATAAATTACAGGAGTCATATTGCAATCCCTTACAACACGCTCTGAAGCCAACATGTTTCTTACCAAGTTATCGTACACGCTATGAAGTAAGCATGTTTAAGAACCATGTTGACGCACATGCTATGAAGGCAGCATGTTTAAAGACCATATTGTGGCTCACACCATGCAGCCAAAATGTTTCAGCACCATGTTGTCGTACACGCTATGAAACCAGCGTATTTGAGCGTCATGTTATTGAACACGCCATGCAGCTAATATGTTTCAGCACAATGTTGGCGTTCACGCTATGAAGACTGCATATTTCAGCACCATACATGTTGTTGTACACACTATGTTGCCTGCATGTTTCAGTACCATGTCATTATTTAATCCATTTATTCTGAGTCCTCTCCATTGATTCATTGTTTGTGAAATCATTGTTTGCGAAATCAATGAATCCATTGATTCATTGTTCTGCTTGCATATTTCGGCACCATGTTGTCGTACACACTATGAAGCCTGCATGTCTTAGCACCATGTTGTCGTACACACTATGAAGCCGGCACGTCTCAGCACCATGTTGTCGTACACGCTATGAAGCCTGCATGTCTTAGCACCATGTTGTCGTACACGCTATGAAGCCGGCTACACGCTATGAAGCCTGCATGTCTCAGCACCATGTTATCGTACACACTATGAAGCCTGCACGTCTCAGCACCATGTTGTCGTACCCAGCAAAGGCCGTGCAGTTGACCGTCATCAATAAAGTCGCCCCGGAGGAGCGTGCACGTCTGATCATCCGTCACAGGGCGCCGGTCAGCCAGCAAGCCAAACGCTCCCTCGCGTCCAATACACGTCAACACTGTGTAAGGATCCTGTATCCTGCATACGTGTTCAGTGTAATGAGGAATCTGGTTTTCATTGCGGTACATACGACAAGAAAGCAGTGAATTTATGCAAAATATTGGATGAATCTAGTAAATTAATTCGGGAGAAACATGAATTGATCGAGAGAATAATTGAATATACTGAATGTCGGGAGGCTTACATGCAAGTTTTCCATGTAGCTTAACGAATTTCCAGTACTAATGTGACTAACCGGCGACATCTGCTTGTACTCTGTACTATTGCATGAGAAGCTCACCACAGTTGAATTTAACGTGTATTTTAATACTTTACTCATTTCTCTCAAATATTTTTTCTTTATTGTGAAGTAAAAGGGCAGATATTTCTTAACAGAGAACTTATGAAATTCTTGCTCAAGGCTCAGAAAATGTATGATGTGCACAAGAGAATCTCAACTTCAATTTAAGCCGACCAAATTCCTGCTAGATTTAAAAAAAACGTTCCTCAAAAGCATTCAGAAATCTGTCTGCAATGAAAAACATCATTATAATATCCAGCTTTCATACATTCATCATATTTTTTATATATTAAGGTCACATTTAAATCGCAATTTTAATGAAAATTCGACAGGGAGAGGAATATCGAGAAAATGCGCCGTATTTTTTAAATAAATTTTCGGTCGCCGGTCATCCCATTCAGTTGTTCCATTTACCTACCCTAAAACTAAAGTCAAGTTATTCACAGTGTAATTGAAGTCAACAAAAATTTATAATTTTCCGATTCTAAAGTAGCCTCATCTACACTGACCACTTCCAGACTGCTATTTTCTGAAAATCAACTGTAACTGGTTTGAACACTAATTTTTTCATAGCTTCCGTCTATTTCATTTGTTTTTTGATTTATTAAGCCAATGCTGGAGCTGGTCTGTGAAAGTTTTATGCTGTTTTACTTCATGTTCGTGGACTTTTCTTCGCGTTCGAATCTATAGTTTCTTTAACAGTTCATGCACATATTGACACTATTATTTATTTCTTTGTTAAAGTCTTAGCTATCCCTAGTTTAATGTATTAGGATTATTATTATCAAAATTTTATTCTATTATTTCGCCATACCATAAACAACTGGTATTAAAATTTGTATTGTATTATTGTCTCGTAATTTTTGATGTATAAACTCAATGACGTGTGAGACAAGAAAATTGACTTGAATATACACGCTACACACATTAGTAAATTTGAGTAAATTGAACATTCCAAAAATCTGAGCATTGCACTTAAATTTTCCACACACAATTTTCTGTGCGAAGGCCATAAGTAGATCCCAGAATGGATTATGAGCTCGTTTTTGCTGAAATTCAGACCCATAGGCATCGAAATTTTTGATTCTCCAGGTTCGTACAAGAACTTTCTCCATTCAGAGAGTTTACCAGCAGCGTCAGCAAGACTTAAAGTCGAGAATAGTTCGACAAAATAAATTTCCTGCTACGTTTGTGTCAGCTCTACGGATTCACTTCTTCTACGCAATTCGAAAAGAAAACTCATAAAAAATTGATTAGCTTTCATAAAATCGATAAGCTTTTTAGGATAAGTTAAGGAATTACGTTAAATATTTTAATGGGCTTAATTAACTGCATAAACGCTACTGAATGTTAGAAAAATTAATTTTTTCGTAGTTTATAAGTACGTATTCAAAATGTATAAGATCTGTTAATTTGCTATATATTTCTGTTTTGTAATTATTATCGCGAATTAAATTCAAGTTTCGACTGCTCGCAGGAATATCACACCATGGGTACAATTTAAAAGAAATTACACAATACTTCAAATTTTGTTGACTTGCAACACAAACTTTTCATTTTATCTCACTAAATAACAGTTTTCAAATAGTAATCATTACGCATTAAGTCAACATTGCTTGCGTAACTTTTTTAATGAGGAAATCATGCATCAGTTCTTACAATAAAATCTTGTGACGATTTCACTATGTAAATTGCTAAAAATGTTTCGATTTAAAAATCTGTGAATATTGCATCTATTTCTCTTGCTCTCTCAGTTGTATGTATTTATAGTCACTAAAGACCGACATGCAATTCCAAAAAACTACTTAGATTAAGGGGATTCATTTGTATCGGTTCACTTTTTAAAGCACTGTTTGACGAAGCTTGTCTCATTTACTGAATTGTCTATTGTTTTTTTGGTGCTTCTTCTTCTCTGGCTTGTCTCTTTTCTCTCATGTTGCCTCTACTTTATGTTGTCTCTACTTTACGTTACATCTACTTTATGTTGCCTCTACTCTATGTTTTCGCTACTTTATGTTGCCTCTACTCTATGTTGTCTCTACATTACGTTACATCTACTTTATGTTGCCTCGACTTTATGTGGCATCTACTTTATGTTGCCTCATTCCTCCACTCTCACTCCCTCACTCTCACTCCCTCACTCTCACTCCCTCTCTCTCACTCCCTCTCTCTCACTCCCTCACTCTCACTCCCTCACTCTCACTCCCTCTCTCACTCCCTCTCTCTCACTCCCTCTCTCTCACTCCCTCTCTCTCTCTCCCTCTCTCTCACTCCCTCTCTCTCACTCCCTCTCTCTCACTCCCTCTCTCTCACTCCCTTTATCTCACTTCCTCTCTCTCACTCCCTCTTTCTCACTCCCTCTCTCTCACTCCCTCTCTCTCACTCCCTCTCTCCCTCTCTCACGCTCTCTCTCCCTCTCTCACGCTCTCTCACTGGCTGGGGCTGCGCTGTACAGTCGCCGCCTCTGCCTCCTGCCCCAGCACCAGCCTCAGCACCAGCAGCCTCACTCCTGCAGCGCCTCAAGCAGCAAGCGACGGTGAGAGCTTCTCCCAGAACGTGTCTTGCATCTCAAATAACGTCTTGCCTGTCTTAAAATAACATCTATTGTTTTAAATGTTATGAAAGCTTTCATTATTAAGAGCGATACATTTTATTTCCTTTATATCTTTTCTTATTACTTTATTGTAATTTAATTTGGGTCTGAATTAGAAATATTCGGAGAAGCATCGTGATATCTATTTATTTTAGCTAAAATTTTGCCTATGACAATGAGCTGCATGAATGTTGATGTAACCCAAATGTATTTATTAAATTAATTAATAGGAGAAACTACAAGAAGCTCAGATACCACAACCTATATCATATATTAAACGAATCCCACATCGCATCTACTATATTTTTGATAATTAACTTGTAAAAATGAAGACGCGATGATATCAAGGAGTTTCCTATTATTGATGTAAATTAGCAATGTTTTTTCAGTAACCTATCAAAAATTGACACAGAATGCGTCGTTCACATAATGTGCCGCATAAGCTCTATCTGGTTATTGAATTTAATCTATAAACAGTTATTCGTTGTGTCATTTGTTAATATTCTTCCAAAATGTAATATTTTGTTTTGCGATTGTGCAAAAGTTCGAAAATTTCCTTTATTCCTTATGTACTTAATTTCTACAATATGTATTTAAACAACGCATGATATGAAGGGATATTTTTTAGAATAGGCTTTTCTTTCAGTGGAGTGCATGCAATAAATTTATTTGGATAAAGGTCCCTGCCTTTCTATATATTCGAAAGTCTGCATTCTTCTAACACTTAGTTATTTATTATCTACAGCTCATTTTCTGCTATGGTTTACTTAACCCACGTTAAAGAATCATTACTTAATGTATGGGTAAGCATTTATTTTGTTTGACCTGCAGCTGCAGTCACTTGCCTTCTCTTATAAGATTTATTTTCTACCATGCATTAAAGAGCTCTTTGTACTGTGCTCTACGTACGTATGAACGCCCTCTTTGTGCTGTGCACTGCGTATATACATCAGCACTTGCGGTGTCATGCATACATACTTTTTGTGCATTGCTAAATTGTTTTCCGTTTTTGTGCTAGGCGAGCAAGCGAAATGCATCTAAATTTCATGTTCATTTAATTGTAGTTTCAACGATTTAAGACAAGCTTTCTCCTCCAAGACGCAAGTCAATTTATTCTCTTATTGACGACACGTGCGCTGTTATATTTTCTAAAAAAATATGTATGTACAATTTTTTTACGCGAGTTTCTCCCAACCAAATCATTAAGTTGTTTCTTTATCACTATAAATGTATTTTATAAGTCATACGCCTTACTAGCTTTTATAGCAGACTCCATTTCACTACATTTCCGGCATAATTTAAAAACTTTGCTTGTAGCCGTTCAGCAAAGTTATAAATTACATCGTTCGTGAATTCATTGATACGCGAAATCGATTTGTTGACTGCAGGGATCGTTTTACGAGGTTTATTCTCGAACTGTATTTAACGCCGAAATTCAGTGCCACATTTTACCAGAGTTTAATTACACGTCAGCTTATTTAAGAGATTGCGTGTAATAATTTAATTAGTTTAGCAATAAATCCGTTATTGGATTTACGAGAAAGCTTATATGAAGAAAGTTTCTTCGATATTAGGTTAGTATAAACACTCAGAAACCTCAATTTTTCGCAGAAGGAAATTTTTGCATCTGGAACAATTTTAATTGAAGATAGTTTCCTTCGAATGTGTATCGATTGTTTACGATTCACACAATTCTTAATTCAAACAATATGGATAGGTCAAAGTCTGGAGGTTAAGCGACTCGTGGTCCCTCTAAAATTTTTATTCCCCAGGTTCATTCAAAACTTTCCACTCATTCATAAGTCTAATCTGCAACGTCAGCAAAAGCAGGAGGCGAAAATCTTTCCATAAGATTAAATTACGTCATCGTGCATCAGCTCAATTGATTAAATCCTTGTGTACCGCTTTAGGAAGTTGATAAAGAATTAGTAATCTTACGTCACTATGATTTAATGTTAATTTATTAATTTGGACGATTATTATAACAAACGGACAGCAGTCATATAATAAATTTCGATGCAAAATTTCGATATTTGCATTTAATCAAGCTAAGTTGGATTCTTGAGTTTATTAAACTAAATATAAAAAGTGGTATTGGTCAATGTGTAACCTTAGCACCGTTTTTAGTAATGATATTACATGATCCACATCAAATAACTTACGTGGAATAAAATCGTCTAAACACGCCAGTTTGCATGCATGTTAATTTACCTGTCGACGCTTATAGAGGCGGGAGGCCGAAGTAGTTCGTCTGGGCAGCGGATGCGACAATGAGCGACGGAAATTGAATTCGCCGTCCGTTCAAGAGCACATACGACGTGCAACACTAAATGAAATCATCAGCGAAACTAGGAAGGCCAAGCATTAGCCAATAAGTGGCAGTCTCTACTACGATTATTATTTTTAAACTATCGAGCAGTTATGCACGAGCTAGTATAAGCCCCGTGAATTTGCGTCACACTAGAATTCCTTTATTTTAATAGATTGATTTTTAGATGCATTCAAATTAGTGCTCCGATTATTGTTTCTTTAGGGCTTTGTTGAATTTCAAGGCTTGGATATGATATTTTCCAGCTCTTAAAACTTGTCACTTCACATTTATTAATCTTCGCCCAATATACGATGTGGATGCATTTGAAAAACTTGAGCGTATGCAATAAAGATGTTTTCTAAAGTAAAGAACTTCAAAGAAAGTTTTATGTTTCTTCTCTCTTTTTTATCTCTTCATCTCTCTTTTTAGCGCATTTTCTCATTTATGGAAAAAATGCACTATTGTTCTCGCCATGTCCGTCTGTCTGTCTGTCCGTCCGTCCGTGACCTCACGTTTTCGCCGACGAGAAAATGCGCTCTCTGTCACTCACTGAAGTGAGAACATTAGAATTTTTTATCTCATTCCCTATTAGAAATGTATGCAAATTCGTTTCTATAATCCGCCTATTTAATAAATGTTTTACACGTAACCACATTCACATTTATTACTCAAATCACAAGACCAGACATTGTCCACATCCTAAACAAAGATATTCTCTTGACGACCTCTTCTTCTCACAGCATGACACGCCATGAAGGCTTGTAAAGGCTATATAAGAGTCACATATACGGTATACACGCAGCGCCTGCAGCAGACTGTTGCTGGAGCTTGCACTTGGACCTGTTCCAAGGAGTACACTGGCGAGTTTTATTTTATTAGGGAGCAACAGGCTAAGGAAAACACTATTCTTCCGTGCTATACGACGCCAACTTCTGTCGTAAAATTTGACCCGAGTCGCCGAAATGGGCCAAAAAGTGGCACGGAGTTCCTACGCTTGAACGGCAAGCCTCTCGCCGGTGCTGGAAATCAGTAGGCTAACGATTTACGTTGACTTATTGACAGGTTCAATTAAAAAGGTAGATATTCAAGTTGTGATGCTGGTTTTCTTTTCAGTTTGAATTTAAAAAATAAGTAGTGTTTAAAACTTGGTTTAAAAGAATGATGATTGATACGAAAGTAGAAATATTTTGCCAAACTAATTAAATTCGCCTAGTCGTCATATACGTAGCTGAAAAGAACAAGCCACTCGTTGGATTTAACGTGAAAAGAATCTGCTCAATAAATGTAATTTTATTTAATAATTGTGTCTCAATTGTGCTCGAGACGAAACGTGCCGCGAAATCCAGTTTACACTTGGAACAAAAATACCATTATGTACGCTGTCTTTGAGGTGATGATTTAGATGTCACTTTGAGCCTCAAAATGTGTTGGTGAGGTTACTATTGAATTACTGAGCAATAGCTGCGTCAGCGAGCATGATTCGATACGTGCATACGAGAGCAGGCAACAAATTAAGCCTTTCATTACAGCCTCAATTGGATCAATTAGAGACGCTCCACGCGGCACAAGGCGAGAAGGAGGATAGGCTTGCCAAACTCTGAACGTCTAGGCTTTACGAGGCGAGCTTAAGGCAGCAAGTTCAAAAAAGTGATCCGATTCAAGGAAAAACTATATAGAAATGTTTTGTCACGCTAGAAAAGAATTTGGAACTTTTCACCTGAAACTGAACCTTTAGAGGTAGAAGATGTCACTATTACATTAGCAGCATGAAATACAAGTCAACATATGATCGAGGAGCAGAGCTATGAGTAATTCAGTTCAATTATTCAGTTCAGTTATTCAGTTTAGTTATTCAGTTCAGTGATTCAGTTCAGTGATTCAGTTCAGTGATTCAGTTCAGTTATTCAGTTCAGTTATTCAGTTCAGTTATTCAGTTCAGTTATTCAGTTCAGTTATTCAGTTCAGTTATTGAGTTCAGTTATTTAGATCAGTTATTCAGTTCAGTTATTCAGTTCAGTTATTCAGTTTAGTTTTTCAGTTCAGTTTTTCAGTTCAGTTATTCAGTTCAGTTAGTAAAGCTGTCTTCGACTACAGCTTTCAAAACCCGGAAGCCAACGGAAGAAATGTTTTGATGATATTTGAAGTAGGAGTTATATGTATACATGTCTCTTCACTTCCTGATTGCTGGATAAGACTCGGGCTTGAACGAATTAGTTATGATTTTTGCATTTTCGGGTGCCGAGCTTTCATGCGGAGTTTCAAATAATATTATTCAAACAAATCACATGAGTAGAAGATATTTTTTCATCAACTTTCAAGAAAATACACGAGAGTGATCGTGCAGTGTTTCCAAATCATCCTGCATTCAATACCGTTTTGATGATGTCATTTACAGTATAGATTAACATTTACAGCATTTATTTACAGCATGGATTTAATACTGAGGATGAAAATCCATTCAAAAGCGAGCAACGAAGATCGATCAGATAGCGAGCGCAAAAAGGCACATTTAATTTTATAAATGGATGGTTGATTTCTAAAAATCTATACATAAGCAAGGATTAAATAATGATTGACAAAGAACTTGTGTCTTATAGAAGGTGCTAGTTAGTAAAGCAGTTATCATTAGTTAGTAAAAATACCAAAAGTATTTATAATTACAATCATAAATTAATTGTCTTATGTCTATATCTAACAAGTATCCTAATGCAATTAAGGAAGGGAAAAACTTTCGGTATACAGGCGAATTTTTTGCAATAAAATCCTTTTATCATGACGATGAGGTCGACTCCTTAATGTTTGAATCAAGTAAAGTTTTTTTTAATAAAAAGCAGATGTTTGAATACGTATTTTCTAAATACTTTTTTCATTGCACACAACAATCTGACGCTAACGTACAAACCTTACACAATGGGGAGGATTTCTCAAGGCTTAGTTAATTATGTAGAATTACTTTTGAATTTTTCTCGTCTGGAGAATGTTCACAAAAAAAACTTCTGAGTTCATAAAATTTATATTGCAAAAATTATCTTATTTATGTATGACTAAATTCGCGGCACGGTCAAATTAGAATATGAATCACCATTCAAATTAATGATCTATTTATATATATGTAATGTGACGACAACATTATCATAATTAGTATAATTTCTCGAAGTTATTTAATTAATAGGTAAGATTACCAAGATTATCGTTATGCTGAACTAGCGCTTTATGTGCTTGGCAACAAACATCGTCTTTCGCTTAGTCCATGAACGTACTCTCGAAAATCAGAACCACGCAAAAAAAATTATCAAGCGCTCATTTTCTCCTATTTTGTGCGTATATTTCTAGTTGCAGTGATAAAATTTCAATTAATGGTTGAAGTTTTGAATGTTGTGGCATGAACTGCCGGAACTTGCCGCATGAAGAGCGCTGTGCACGAGTCGCTGTTAAATCTCTGGGATCCACACTGTCTCTGTGGTGCCTCGAGCCGTCCTATTCCCGTGCTCCTTTTAATGCATTTCTGGGCGAAGGTTCCTGCTGTTTGAAAATAGCAATGGACTCTTTGTGTTCACTTTCTGTTCATTGGAATGAAGTTGTGAACCAGAATGGAGTGGCGGTTTTTTGAAGCAAGCATCCTTCTTATTTTTTGTAAATGAACATAATATAATATAATGCTATAGCATGATATCATTCATCAATCAACAGATGAGCACACAACAATTCAACATATCCAATTCTCAGATTAATAAAAAAAGTAACCAAATTCCGTTATCACGAGAAGCAATATTTTCTGCGTGATAGGCATTTCTTGCAGCATTTTTTGGGGATTCTCACGTCAATGCCTCGCGGTTTTCTTCGCCAACTTGCAATGAAAAGAAAGTCTTCGATATTTTTACGAGCTCCTCGAAAAGATAGGTGAAAGCGTCAGTAAATATTTATTCAGGTGCTGTTTGATTGCTTTTCTCTTACTATACCCCATAAATTCGAAATAATTATAATTTTTTCTATAGTTGCTTCTCCAAATTGGTCCCATTCTATTGCCTGCTAACAAATGTTCATCATTTTGCCCTCTAACAAATGTTCTTCATTTTCGTTTGAGGAGGAATGTGTTTTTAACATGCTTGTGTTTGTACTACAATTTTATTGGTTTTAATGTTGAGGTTGAATTTCATTTTATTTATTTTGAGAACCGTGATAAATTTATTATGCCTGCATTTACGTTTATTACCTTGTTTTACAACTATATTTTATCAGTCGTTGTTTTAGGCAATTATTGCATAGATGTTAAATCATATTTTTATACCTGACAAGTTCTGGCCTATGTGTGCGACTTGTTTACTTAGTAAATTAAATATTTTATTTTATTAATACTTGTTCCTTGATTACCATCAGTAAAATTTTATGACACTATTTAGAAATTAATTTCAAAATTGTGTCTTGCAGCTTTGCCGTTTAGTGCGCTGCCTAATATTTTTAATTAAACATAACATTTTTTCCTCTGGTTGCCGTTACAAAAAATTTGAATATGTTCATAGTTTTCTCAGAATTAGCAGCGCACCATAACTGAGTGAAAAAATGCTGAATTTTTTAATGCTTTTGTGACAATATCTTCTGTACTGTGGCAAAATTAGATTCATTTGTTCAGCTAGATGATTTTTATATAAGTTTTTTCTCTATTTTAGTCCTAATATGAGTCTTATTTATCCCATCCCATCCTTTCCCTCACTCCCCAACCCACGTCGCCTAAACATATTCTCACACCACCAAAATTCCAACAACTACATCACCAACACATTCATAATCCGCATCTTTATTAGCGGGAAAACTCTCCTCTTGTCCTTTTATGTTCCAATTTGACACTGTTTCTCTTATAATTACATGTAATATAAATCTTTTCGCTTAAATTTTCGAATTACCGTCCGAAAGTTGTTATTTTCCTCTTAGCCATCTTCATCTCTTTTCAAAATATGTCATTCCATTTCAAATTCCCAATGACAAATCTGCATTTTCATTGCGATAATGAACAAAATTACTGACAAAAAATAATTCCTTTTCTTCAACTGCTATAATCTGCACTACCTTGAAATTTCATTTAAACAAAATAAAAATCAAGATATTTGCTTAAACTGGCTTTGATTCATTTATCGCGACATAATATATATGAGAAATATAAAACACATAATCTCGTATTATATACTTTAAAACACATGCAAACGTTCATCCAAACCTGGTAAAAACCAAATTCCTACTCCTTGAAACTCGCGACTTTATCCTAACAATCCTGCTCCCCTGGCTGCTCTTTGATCTTTGTTTTGGACGTTTCTCTTGCCCGTCGTCCGCCTCTAACAATTTCTCATCATATCAAACACGGCACAAAATTTCCCGTTTTTTTGCTCTGGAAAGCTGAAATTTTTTAAATATATGCCACCGCTGATGGAGCGCCTGCCACATCTCTTAAAACTTCACCTAAACTATGCGTGTCTGCCACCAAATCTTCTATTTTATTTTTCGTCTCTGTCTGAATTTATTTTTGTTCTCTGTCTGCCTTTATTTTTATTCTCTGTCTGCCTTTATTTTTGTTCTCTGTCTGCCTTTATTTTTGTTCTCTGTCTGCATTTATTTCTCTGTCTGCCTTTATTTTTGTTCGCTGTCTGCCTTTATTTTTCGTCTCTGTCTGCATTTATTTTTCTTCTCTGCCTGCCTTTATTTTTGTTCTCTGTCTGCCTTTATTTTTGTTCTCTAACTGCCTTTATTTTTATTCTCTGTCTGCTTTTATTTTTGTTCTCTGTCTGCCTTTATTTTTCGTCTCTGTCTGCATTTATTTTTCTTCTCTGTCTGCATTTAATTTTTCTTCTCTGTCTGCCTTTATTTTTGTTCTCTGTCTGCATTTATTTTTTTCTCTTTCTGCCTTTATTTTTGTTCTCTTTCTGCCGTTATTCTTCTTCTCTATCTGCCTTTATTTTTCGTCTCTATCTGCTTATATTTTCCGTCTTTGTTAGCGTTTATTTTTCGCATAAATCTTTATTCCTTATCGTCTTTCTATTTATTTTGTTTAATTCTTTCTTGTTCCATTTTCCGTTCCTGCATCTTCGTATTTTCTAATATGGAATCGCTTACATCTTTTGTGAACTAGCAACTTGCTGAAAAAATTCCCCGCCTTGATTGTCCGTAAAAGTGTTGTCTCTTTCTTTTTTATGTGCCTCAACAATTATTTCTCGCGTCTTCTTTGCTTTCTCTCGGTTTAATACATTACATGAAACAAAAAACATTTCATAATCTCACCATTAACACTTTGTTTTCGAATCGTTCTATTTTCTGATATTCATAATCTTATTTCTACTCATCATCCAACTATTTTTAATCGTGACCTTACCGTCTCTCTTAGCCCTTTTTACATAAATTATCTTCTGTTCTTCGTTTTCTTGGATCCTTATTTATATCTCTATTCCCCTAAACTCTTTCTTCCTTGTGCATTCCTCCCATCAATGTCTTCCCTATACTCAATATTTTATTTTGTTATCCTCAGCAATTTACGAGCCCCCTCCCCCTCCTCTCCCGTGGTCCTGCCCCCCAGCCCCCCAAACCCCCCACCGACGAGGGTCTAAGGAAAGGACTCATCGTCCTGGGCCCCGAGTCTACATTCGGCAGCAAATCTTACACCAAATACAGCGATATTGACGAGGTGAGAGATGACGTGCAAAGACGAGGTGAGAGATTCCTCTAAGGGTGATGGTGACAGCGAAAAGCACCGCGAGTCCGGCCTCTAATTTGGAATTTTCTCATTTACAATAAATTACAGAGCGATTTCTGTAAGCTTTTTCCCGAACAGATTTCTGTTCGAAATTAATTGTACGCCAAAGAAATTTGAATGATTTATGCACCGTGATAGAATGAAAATGCGACTGAAACGAAACCTTAATACTATCTCTCAAAATGAAGGCAAATATTGTTCACAACAGCAAAGCGTAGATTTCCGTAAATATTTAACGAAAACATCTGCAGCGCATAGAAGACTATTTTATTGTTCGTCCAGTTTTCATTTTTCAAATAATACTTCTGCTGTAAGTCTTGATTATATATACCGTGAGCTTTTTACTCTTCCGAAAAAAATCCGATTAAACACTGGCTCTCTATAATGTTTAATTTAAATCTATCCCATTGCTGCTGCTTGCACTTGGTTGAACCCGTTGAAATAAAGAGAGTAATTTTGTTGGCACAAGTCGAAGTCCCATCGACCTTTAGGATGGCCTTCGCGGACCGAAAAGTATTGAATTTAAGCGGATTTTAAACGAGAAACCGACAAGTTTAGTGGCGACAGAATTGCGCTTAAATGAATGTGACGAGCACGAGTTTATCCAACTTTTGGTGCGTATGACAACTTTAAGTGGGTATAACAAGACAGACATGCTGCGGATGACCTCTTGAGCCAGCCAATTGTTCGCTAATTTGTTCTCGTCGGACTGACTTGATTCGAGAATTTATTGAACCTTGCCAGGCTCAGTGAAGCGGATTAGAACGACTTCATTAGCAGCCAAGAAGTGTAAGCGCAGAGAAGCTTTTCAAATTTTAATAATTCTGAGTCGAAGTGAGATCCTTTACAATATTTTGCCATCCATTTGTACAATTTTTTTATCAAAAATCTCCATTTTGAAATCTATCTGTATTTTTATAAATGATGATTCATTTGCAAACGTCTTTAGCATATTGTTTATTGTTTTTTTATAAATAAATGCTAAAGTGAACCGTGCATTTGCTTACTCATACTCCAATTAGCTCAGCCTGAACAAATATTTATTTAATCTATGTACTGATAGTATCAGAAGCATAATTCCGCTTTTGGTGCTTGTGTTCATTCGTGAATTGTTTTCGCAAATTTAATTCTTTTTTATTTCATTCAGCCTAAAAAATATATCTATAATAACCATCTCAGATAAATTTTATCCCAGTAAACACAACTAAGAGGGCAATTTCTTCGGTAAAATTGACGCAATCGGCCTACTTAGTGAGCACAAACTTCTTGAGGCATCATTTAAGGAAGAATTCTTTTCCTTCCTACTTCCGCTTCTGACACCATCAATTCTGAACTGCAATTTTTTTCCTTCCTAAGTCTAGACTCATCAATAAGTACTCGGCTTCAATACCACCGTAAATTTATAAAAAATTTGCTCAATATTTTCCAAGATTCTCTAAAGATTGATGGCAACGACTCGTGCGATCTGAACCTGCTGATGTAGAAGCCTGCCATAACATTGGCGTCGGGGCGGCCAAATATTACTGAGCCCAAACGTCTAGGGTTCATAACATTACCGCATTGCGGCGTTCCCAGGCTTATGCTGGAATGCAATAAAAAATCCGCGTCGACGCTCCCGACCTGAACTTGCAAGCCCCGATGATCGTCAAAAGCGATATGTTCGTCAGGTGGAAGATAAAATCATTCATTGAAAGGGTTTAATAAATCCATTCTTAGAGACGATTGTTTGAGCTTGGGAAATTAACTGCTTTTTTGCTATTGACTTTCATACTATATACTTTTATGTTTATGTCACTATTCTGCTTCATTCTCAAGGTAACAGTAATAGAAGAGCTAAAAAATTTTCAACAAAATTTAGTCGAAAAATTTTCCTCGGAAATGTGTCAAAAACCAGCAATATCATTAGATCAAAAATTTTATGGAAGGAGTAATTATCAACCGAGCGATAGAATTTACAAGGATAAGATTAGAGCCTTATTTACAGAATACAAGCGAGATGATTTGGCGAGATGACGTGAAAAACAATCAATTAACAATGTAATCTGGAGCTTATAAGAACATTAGGAGTTGTTTAGACGAAATTTTTGTTGAAAAATATTTAACGATTTCAAGATCATTAAATCTAAAGCAACTAAATACGCACTGCGCTCAACTGTACTAAACTGCAACTAAATGCACACTGCGCTCAACTGCACTCATAAACCAGAAGGACCACAAACAAATATACCTGAAAAAGAAACAAATTTCAAATAATGTAACAATTATAGGTGCAAATTAACATTTCAAAGAAAGAATCTTTTACTTAAATGGACATTGTTTACGACTCCGAGTTGGAGTAGGACCGAGTGCAATAAACAGTGTTCCTACAATCAATCTGTGAAACTACTTCAGAATATCGCTTTGATATGAACTTCTTAATTTAAGTAGACACATATTGCGAACAAAACCCATTGAAATAAAATATTATCCAAATAAATTCAAATTCAGAATGTATAGCATGGAAGATGAAGAAAATTCCATATTTAAATCCAATCAATTTAAAACGATAAGTGAAAAAAAAAACTTCAGAAGCTCGTGCCCGATTCAGTGAAAATCAAATAGCGTGGGAAGAGTTATTATTCTAGAGTTCTGCTTGCCCATCTCTTCCATCCAGAAATTTGATATTATTATGAAGGCAATAAAAATGTAATAATCGTCGACCAGTGGCGCTAACTTGTGTTTGAGAGCGATTTGATGCTTTATACTCCACCGCTGCTGCTTCCGATTTGAGGACATTGGCATCGCTGCATATTTTTGAACGAAACTATCATTTGATCAACGATTATTTATTGTTCTTATTCACTTAATATTGGTAATTAGAAGGTATCTTTTCACTTGGACTTGGTTATTTAGGCATTGGTATCATCCGTGTAAATTTGGTCGTTTTGCTGATTACGCTTGAACTATTATAGAATTTTTAACTACTTGTTCAATGAAATACTCATCTTTTTGAAGGAAAATGCAAAATAAAAATTAAAGTAAATAAATACTATTAATGCTTCCACTAGGCAATATATTTCGTATGGCTCCTAGCAAGAATGTAAGGATTAATGTCTATACATCGGGTCATACAAGGCTATGAAGATAAATTTCGCGATTATAGGTCTATAGAGATACATTTTCTTCAAGTCACTGATTTATTATCGTCACTCCATATTTTCCCGAATCTCAAAGACCTTGTTAAATCAGTTTTTTAACTCCTTACGCTCATCCTTTTCCGGGTCTGGATCTCGCAGTCAGCCTGGATTTTATTATGGCTGTGAGGATTCCAATCACTGGTTAGAGCAGTCATTTCCTCCTCCCTGCCCCGCGCCCAGGCAATCTCCTGGAACCGGCGATTTGACAAGAGGGAACAGTTTGGGCCGCTAATCTATTTACTCTGGCCAAGTGATGACTGCAAAAGTGCAAGCAACAAGAGCTTTACGGCGAGTGCCTGCCTGAGCAAACACACCTAACAGTGTTATCACTTTGGCCGAGCTTGAGCCTCCTTGCTGATGGCCGTTACTTAGGCGCGCTGGCCCGCAGCTATAACCCTTAGAGGCTTATTGGAAATGCGCTGCTTATGACCATGCATTACCATGTTGCAGTATCGTCTAGCGTCATAAAAACATTCCTTTCATAGGCTTTCTCTTAATTAATTACTGGATGACTGACTAATAATAGGTGTGGATGATTTACAACTCTTGCTGCATATCTGAGGGAGGCAATGCAATTAGAGTCGTGCTTAAAATAATGAACGTTTAAATAGAAAAATATCCATTATGCCTACTAGCTCTACAAGCAAAACAAGATGACTCAACAAGAAACAGAGACATATTGTAATATTTTTCAGCATTAACCAATTTAATGCCAAAAGAACTATGAAGCTTTTCAACAAAGCAACTGTTATTTTTGATTTGACGAGAAAATCCCGCATCAGTTAATAATTATTCAAGTTATTTGTGTGATGCAGTTAACACAGCAAAGTCTTTCCAAAATTATCTATGGAATTAAAGCAAGTTGACTAGACTAAGTCGGATATGTTAAGAAATTAAATCAGTCGACGAATTTATATCAAATCCCAATCAAAACGGATACTGAACAGCTTGTTTTTCAGATGCAGATCCACTTTGAATATCAACTCGCAAGTTATTATGGTCATTAGGATTGAGCTTCACTTGTTTCTTCCGAAACACGAAACTGTGGGCTAGATAATATAGGGCTAATAAATAATGCAACAGTAGACTAATTATTAGCGACGGATTGAACATCTTGAAAAGCAGTTAGGAAGATCGAATATTTTGCATTGTTCGACGCGTTTTTTTTTATTTATTTATTTTTTGTCTGTTTCTTCGGATCAATGGAACTAAAAAAGAAGCTCAGCAAGTGTTCTCAAAACACTCGAATTTTTTGAACACGTAGTTCTATTGTCATAATACTGGTTTGAATGAACACGTTTTCAGTGATCAATAAAGTTGCGACATATCAAGCCATTGTGTACGCAAAGGCCAGGAATGCATTGCATGGATTGAAAATACTTAACGCAGCGCCTCAAGTGATGCTTCGCCGCGTCAAAAAAAACTCACCTGGAAGAGAAAATACTGTATGACGGACACATGTACGCGAACTTGTCAAATATAATTGAGAGTTAATAATATAGGATGAAAGTATGTTTCTCGTGGAATAAACAAAATTCATTATAAAGAATTTTTTTCCCGAAATTGTTGCGGTCGTGTGAACAAATGTTTACCAATTCTGAAATTCAGTTTCTAACTTTTTGGGTAAATAAAATTATTTCCATTAATAAATAAATGCGTAATGGTCCTTGTGAATGTAAAAATATAATATTACAAACAACTAAAATTTAATTTTTTATACATCGGGCTTAGATAATAATGAAAGAAAAAATATAT